AATGTGGTCATTCCCTTGGCCCGGCAAAAACGAACTCCAAGAAAACAATTGTTCAGTTGTTCATATCTGGCAGTCATGAGCATAATTCCCAAATAAAATGACCATCAACTGGCTCAAAATAAATGTTGTGCGAAGTACAATAACACAAATGATGACACATCATGGAACATATTTACTAAATAGAAAAGCTGTGCGGTCTAAAGCAGTCTTTTGCACTTAAAAGTGTGTCAACAGGTATAAGTAGGATTATTTCACCACATCTGATGTTTGCTTCACTATCTTGCAGATCGTGAATATATGGGGAAACTCTCTTTAACACGGTAAGAATACAATGTAGGATGTATTACCCACCAACAGGACGATGGGCTGCAAGCAGTGTCTGATTTTTTATGTTTTGGGCCCCAACACATTTTATTCTCAACAAATATAAACTGGAACTGATCATCAAACTGTTCTCAGCAGGCGACGCAAGATGGAAATGAGCGAGTCCACAAACATCAGTAGTGCCACGTGACAAACCACCCATGAATGAAAGAAGGATGCTGCAGGCGAGATGCAACAGAAGTTTATCGCCAATCCCACATAATGCTCCTTTTCAATGTGCTCCGAAGTCCGACCCTGCTCACCAGCATATGCAATCCACCTACCTACAAACATACAAGCCTTCAAACACAGCACTCAGCGAACTGCGTTCCAACAAGCCCATCTTCTGGCAAAGGTGACAGAAGATGGGCTTGTCAGGGAGAAAAGCAGGGGCGTAGTTTTGCAAGGTGAGTTGGGGGTGGGGGCTGAATGGTGAGATATTATGAAACTTAACTAACATACCCCAAAATTTGCTAACAAATGGGTTGTTCCCAGACTTGGCCTATTTCTCTCTCGAAGTTTCACAGGGCTGAAGCCCCCCAATTGAATAGGAATCTACACCCTGGGAAACCACAGAGAACAGAGAATATCTTGCATGCATGCTGCAACAGTGCTTCTTGATGACATCTCTTTGTTGGTATGAAAACATGTGATGTAATACTTGACTATGTACAAAAATATTGGGCAGTGAACATTTAACAACAATGTGCTTTTTTAAAATCTTCTTTATATTCCGGCCAGGTTTGGCAGCTAAATAATTTCTAGAAAAACATCAAGAGCTCAGAAATGCAACATCAAAACTGATGAAATTGTACCTGACACCAGCTGTGTCATTGATGACACTGTGTCACTGCACACTATTTTATGTTTGAAACAACAGTGCCATTCCTATAGAATTCTGAGTCTCTGATATTTGTCTAAAACACCTGGAGTTTATCAATCTCGCTCATGCAGTGACAGCAGGATGAATGAATGCAGACTAAACATGAAGACCAAAGACAAACCCAGCTCAACACCACACACTGGGAAAAAAATCATAATCAGGCTCATCAGTAGTGAGATGTAACAGCTGATCACTGTGCAAGACATGTTTATTGCATAAAGAGGAATTATCTTTACTCCTGCTGCGTTGACTTCTTGGACCATATCACACAGCAGCTGTATTCTGAGGCCCCAAATGGGGGTGTAACTTTTTGGCATGGGAAATGAGCAGAGAAAATCTTTAAATCCAGTATAAAGGTTAAAAAATGCTGACTTCACAAATTTGAGCAACAGTTTTTCACAGCCTGGGAACCCCCAATCAAAAAGGGAACCGCACCTCTGGTTTCAGATAAAATATATCTAGGAATCCTATCCCATATAATATATCCTACATAATATATCCTATCCTATATAATATAGCTGCAGAACCATATTTTGATATCATGTTCACCCAGCATATGTCCTTCAGGTAAGATGGATAATACCTTGACTGGTAGGTAGCTGCACTAACTGCAATGTACCTGGTGTTCTCATTGGTGTTGTAGTGGCTTGCATGACATCACAATCACAAAATTTTGATGATGTACTCCGTAAATTATGCAATAGGTGCACAACACTTTCAAGCACAGTATGTCCAAATAAAACTTATGCTAAAAATAGGACCAAGCTATTCACCACACTGAAAGGCCACAGACTCTCAGAATTACAAACTGCTGATTTTCAAACATCAAAGCAATCACTAACACCATCTAATACATAATGTTTCTTATCAACTGCTCCCAAATAATGGTTCTGAAGTGCCAGTTCTATACATGGTGTAAATAATTCAAAGATATTTTGTACTCACTACAAGCTGCAAGTCAATAATTGATTAGGTTAGGTATGGTTAGGTTAGTTCAGTTACATGAGGCTGTGGAATGACATATCACACTACATTTTTCATGTCAGTGTATGTATACCTTGCTACCTATCTAATGCTAGAAACCTATGCTTGCTACCTATATAATGCTAGAAAAAATTACTGTGCACCATTCATCATGTTTAAGGTGGAACATATCATAAATAATCTTAAAACAGGTAGATTCGTGCTCCTTCCTTCAAATTGTAATATTTACGATAGCGAGCTCCCGAGCGCTGCATGCACCCCACCGCCTTGACTCCCCAGCGCCATTTCTGCGCTGTCGTCGCGTAATTACAATATTTATACTTATCAAGAACTATACAAAATGTACCGGACCAAGGTAACAATAACAATGTAATGAAACGTGTTTCTTATTGCATCTAGGTACATTTCTGAAACAGACAGGCCAGAATAGTCCAGAACATGGCCAAAACTAAACTAGCCTAGCCTAACCTAACCAAACCAACCTAACCTAACCTAATCTAACCTTATCTAAACTAACCTAACCTAACCTAATGTAACCTAACCTAGCCTAGCCTAACAACCTAACCTAACCTGACCTAGCCTAACCTAACTTAACCTAACCTAACCTAACCTAACCTAACCTAACCTAATCTAACCTATAACCGAATCTAACCTAAACCTAACTTTGACCTAACCTTATCAACCTAGCCTAACTTAACTTAACCTAACTACCTAACCTAACCTACCTAAACTAAACCTGAACCTAAACCCAACCACCCGAACCCAACCCAACCAACCCAACCCAACCCAACCCAAACCCAAACCCAACCCAACCCAACCCAACCCACCACCTAACCTAACCTAACGCTAACCCTAACCTAACCTAACCTAACCTAACCTAACCTAACCTTACCTAACCTTACCTAACCTAACCTAACCCCCACCCTATCCCCTTCAACCCAGTGTCCCATTGGCATCCATGTTCCATACCATACATATGTACCATATTAAGAAGTTCTGTTTAGCCACCATATTCTCATTTTGCTTTTCATTCCCACGCAAAAACGTCATGTTTCCCCAACTTGTTGACCAATATACAAACAATACGGAATACTGCTTGGATACCCAAGAAACACATCTTATTGAATTATTGCTACCTTGGCCTCAAACATTTTTATGGTTCTTGATGTGCAGTAATGTTGTGATCACACAGTAATGTTGCAATCACACGTATAAATGGCGCCAGGGTCGTGGTTGCTGCTTGTTTACACTTGGATGTTCGCCTTCATAGTTATTTAAGTTCCAAGGTAAGAGCTTACATGACCTGTTTTATGATTAATTATGATATGTTCTGCCTTAAAAATGATGATTGATGTACAATGCTCTTTCTTAACATGAGGTAGCAATGTATACCCTGACCTTCATGTCAGTGATTTGTCCATCATAAGTCAATAACATTTGACACCGGCCTCTTACAGAAAATGATTACCATTACTACATACTGATATCAGTATAATCATAGTATCAGCAAGATAAGAATAAATACATTTTGTTTTCTGAGATTATTAGCAACAAATTGTTATAAGGAAGGTGACCTATGTACAATATGCCATTGAAAAGTTATGCAAACATCTTAACCCTAACTTGAACTAGCAAAGATCAATATTGTGCTCACCGCAACAAACAAAGATTTGATGCTCTCAAGTATCACTCATGTCGTGCCTCATAGATGTTTGTGTTCTTGTTTGATGTTGTGACAACACATTAAATCTTGAAGACTGTCATTTGCTGGTTATATAGTATCATTGGTCGGGTTTGTCCTGCTGGCCTGCTGCACGGAATATGAGTCTGATGCTGCACTACAAACTAGCTCTTCTGTCACCCAACTTGACACATAAGCAGCTTATATCAGCCTTATATTTAAGATGCTACTCAAATTGTTGGAGTCAGATGGCTTTTTACCGTCGCAATCAGGACTTTCAAAAACACCACTGGTTTATGGTATGCAGGCAGGTATTTACCTCTGATGTAACTGTGGACGCCGTAATGTGTGCGCGATTTGTTCCGTTCACTTGAATTCAAGCCAGCCCCAACAACTTCTCGCAATCAACAACATGCACGCCTTCGGCCGAGGCGATGCTACCCTGAGTGCGCTGGTTTGGCCTTTGTTGCGCCATTACATTAAGACAACGCCACTACCGTCTTGGACACTACTTCGCTGCTGTTCCTGTAATTAGTCTCAAACTTCGCAAACAACTCGTCAGGTTAGAAGAAACCCCCAAAAATCGATTCCTAACATGCATTTTCCACAACTTTTATGAATTTTTAAACAACAGGTCACCATGGTGACTATTCATAGCCCCAGAGTCGTGCGCAGATGAACAGAATGGTTCCTCTACATTTGTCGGACTCAGCCATATATATTCAACATTTCGCCGAGGGAATTTAGTTGCTATACATACTGAAAGGAGAAATGGTTTGGGTGCTAATACTGGTGCAAAAATTATCGCAGTTTCATATGATTTGACGTTAAGTAGGTAGTTGGGGTAACCCATACAGGCCAACACATCCTCATGGAAATTTACGCTGGTGGGATATCATAGTAAACTATTTTTTTTGGAAAAGCTGTTGCAGTTTCACCGTTTTCTGACCGCCTGGTTTCTTATGTGCTCAAAAGAGGTCATATCATGTAAAAGCTTTATTTTAGAAGGCGATAGTTAGTGTCAACAGGCATACAATTTTTGTCTGTATTTTAGGAAACATATGTTACGTCACTGCGCATGACGAGGCGTAAAACGCGCAGAGTAACGAGAAGCACGGTCAAGGGGCGCCGTGGTGGGGGTGCGAGGCCGAGTGAATGTAGAAATGGCGGAGTTTAATCAAACTACATATTTGGGACTGTTTGGTCTTCTTTGTCTTTTGGTTGTAAGAGATTTCATTGGTGGTAATGATTCTCACAACAGCGTTGAAGCGAGCGTCAGGGACACACCGACAAAAATCGCATCAAAACTGATGGGTCCGACGGTTACATTTTTGTACTGGTAAGTAAGCGAATGTTATCCCACATTACAACAAGTGGCTGGGCTATAATTTTTTTCTCTCTCTTTAAAACGTGCGATCGGTCATTAACAATGATGGGTGTTAGACTGCGGAAAATACGTGTTCCGCTGGAGACGTGCAGCGTAGCAGCAACATGATGGCTTTCAGAGCATACACATTTGAGAGCTCAAAAGCTCATCACATGGTCACCATCAATTGTAGCATGTAAAGACCTAATATCTAGAGGTGTTATATTTCAAGGATCATTACTCCTAAAACATTTTTGAAGCAAAATAGTGATCACTAAGTTCAGTGCCTTTTCACTTGGTATGAGATTGGCACCTATTCCCCAGGCTCAGTCCATCAGTTGCAGAATTGTCAGGCACAGTGTTAGGATTTTATGGGAAGGAGAAGATTCTGGTCACTTTGCAAACCATGACAGGCCTGGGAGGATCTATTTAACTGACCTTAGCTGCTGATGAGCCTATGCTCAAATACCACAGCACCAGTCAGCATGAAATGTATACTAATAAGTCCTGACTGATCATTTATGTTGCATTTTCAATGTCACATGACAAAACACAGCCAAGATCATTAAATTAGGCAGTGAAGTACTTCAGGCTACTTAATCTGTAAAACAAAATTGCTGAAAATTCTATGATGCAAAATTAAGGGTTTACACCTTTATCATCTGACTGTTCATGTTTTAGTTGTGAAGCCTGTTTCACTATTGTAACTTCAGAAAGGATTCAAAGTCTGAAGTGACTTGTTAAAATGTATTTGCTAACAGGCCCATGCTTCAGAACTATGCTTCTGATTTTCATGAATTTTTCACCATTCAATTCAGCATTACTTATTTACTTGTCCTCTTTCAATCTGGTGACTGATGTAGGGTGGATCACTAGATGATGGTTTGATGGTTACTAAATGATTGTTTGACAGGTTGTGTGGTATCAAATGACATGGTTGGTCAAAAAATTGTTTTCAGGCCTGTTATGGTATGATGCTTCCAAACTGCTCAATCAGTTTTTACCCCACCCAAAATAATCAGGATAATTATTATTATGAAAAAATATCACTATCAAAATAATCATGAAGATTTTTGGCCATCATGACATGGCCATTGAAATATCAAATAAAGTCACTGATCTGTTCTGATATCAAGTAACCTTTGGCTCATATGTATCTGGGTTAAAGTTGTTTGTAGAGGTCTGAGGGGACCTCAGACATTTTTTCATTTTCTAACTTGTTTGACCATATTTGACATAAAGGTTGGGATCTAGAAGCATGGAAATTTGACACAAGTGATCTCACATAAGTCCTACCTCCCAAGTACATTTGGTGTCTTTAGTTTTCAAGGTTTTCATACCTTGAGGCCGAATTACTCCACTCACTCCACCAGAGCATGTCACACTTAATGAGCTACTTAGGTGCATCTTAATAGCAATTTTATGGTATAATGCTGTGAGGAGTTAAAGTGACATGCTGCCCTGCTCTCCAACTACTGACACAGAGCATTCACAGGCTAATTGGCAGGTATTCTGGTGACTTGGTGATAAAGTGGTGATTACAGGAAATCAGATGTAACATATTTACTTAGAATTGTTATGGTGGTTTGCAGATTGTGTAGATCATGTGTTTTAAACAGACTTGATTATTTTGTGGCTACCAATTAGTCTCCCCATTTTTCTTTAGCCAGAGCTCATCATCAGGGAGGCATCAAAGTATAATTTAATAGCATGCAACTGATTTGTCCATTGCTATGGTTCAGTTGGTTAGAACACCTGCCTTCAGATTCACCCATCTGTGGGGAGGGGGTAATCAGGCCTAGTGCTGGTACAACCACATGAAACAGTTCAAACCCTGTGGAGGTGAATTTGAGTTACTTTAGGTATTTGCCATCTGCCCTTGACAGATATGGCCATCGGCCAGTGGTAGATACTGTGGTAAAGATCAGATGATGTCAGAAGGCCTGACTGATAGTGCTTGGCATTGGGGCATGTTAAGCTCTCACCACCAAATTATGTCATTGATGTGGAATTGTGTGGTGGGATGGCAGGGGTCAGGTCTCAGTGGGCCTCTCACACTAAGCAGTTGTTGTGTGAGTAGTGTGAGATCAGATCCCAGAAATCCATTCATTTACAAGGTGCTGATTGGTCTTAAAAGTATTTAAAATACTGTAGTTTGGTGCAGGCAAGCAAACAGTTTACAGCTTGCTGATGATGTTCTACATCTTACAAAAGGCTGTGATAGCTATAGGTATAGCTGTAGATGTAGAACTGAAGCCATGTTAGCTTCTTAAGGTGAAAATTGTGTAAGAACTGAGCTGAAAGAAATGTTATACTGGTGGAACAACCAGCATCAGGATTTACCTTATTTTCATGCAACATGAGCTTGAATTACAGCATCAAAGAATAAAGCCCTCATTTAATTGTAGTGTAAATGGGTGCAAGCAAGAATACTTGATATAATATCAAATACAAGAATACAAAATAAAATCAAAGCATCATAAATGTCACATGGTATATATTTTGTTGCAATACAAGGCAGATTATAAATACATTGCAAGAGCACATATTGTTGTGTATGGTGCTACCATGCACCTTTCCCCTCAACAGGGACAGTGAATCTAAGATCACACAGTCTTCCAACCCCAGCAGATATCACTATTACCCCATGGCCATGGTATTCAATGAGCCAGGAGCTTCACAGCCTCAACCAATATCATCACTGACCCCATGAGGCATGGTGTTGCATGATAAGAAGAGAAAAGTCAAAACTACCTTTCTCCACCCCTCCCAACTTTTTTGGTCCATGCCATCTCTTCACTCAACAGCTCACAATGGTGTAACTGATGTGTATCACAGGTGAAGGGATGAGTAAAAGGCACAAAAGGGTTCCTCATCATAGCTGCCCATTTGTGTGTGTTTTGGATACAAGGAGATGACAAATTAGGCAGAGGGTGCAGCAGGTCTGTCCTTGGCGTTTTAAATATTTCAGATATTTAAAAAGCTTGCTTCTTAGTTGTTCCTTACAGTGTGTTCTGTTTTGTTTGCTGGCAGTTTACGTCAGACAGCTGAGAATGACGTTCTGTGTTTCAGCTACTCGTGAGGCTACAGGAAGGCATTTGAGCAGTATGCTGGCTTCATCAAAGAGAAGTTCCCTGATCTGCAAGTGGAGGGGGAGAATTTCCCTCCCCCACAGTGGAAGATGGGACTTGCTCAATTCATTGTAAGATGACAAACTGGGAAATGGGACATGATGGAAGCTATAATTGGCAGACAAAGCTGACATGTGTAGTGCAGCAAAAGTGGACACCTAATTTGCCTTAAAGAGCTCAACGCATGCCAATTATAGGTGTAATAGGTTACAGTATAAGTAAGCTAGAATAAAGTCTGCAGTCAGTCACACACTGGTGTTAGTAATACAATATGCCTGTGGAACAATCTAATCATTCTCACAGCACATTTTCACAAGTCATTTATATTGTGCTAGCTTGGCAGGGTTGGTGCCTTCTCTCCAGCCAGCTTGACTATATGTGCCAGCATGTTGAAATATCTGACTGTGTTCTGGGTGTTCCCCAGGGTGTGGCCAAGCTGCTGTTCATAATGCTTGTGGTAGCTGGGGGCAGTCCGTTCGAGTTTCTGAATCGTGCCACGCCCCAGTGGTGGAGTTGGCTGGTGGAAAACAAAATTTATGGCTGCATGATGATCTTCTTTGTCTGCAACTTCTTTGAAACCAACCTGATATCAACTGGTGCATTTGAAATTCAGTTCAATGGTAAGTCTTCTAACAGTCTTCTTGCATAGAAATGTTTCAGGTTTTAATGCCCTGTTATCATGCCATTAGAACTTGTTTGTTTGCAGCTGCACAACAAAGTATTCGAGAATATTTCCCACAATTCATATATTCATACAGTATTTAGCATAACATATCGCAGCTAATGCACAAAACTTACTGGTTGTGACGACATTTCTGTTTCATATAACAGTATGTCTATGGTCCGTTGGTCGCTCTCCCATCGTTTCCGTAAAAGGGGAGACTAACTCGGAATCGTTAGAGCACCGGGCACAACTCTGATCTGAGAAAGCTCCCCCTAGCATGTGGGTGCTGTGGGCCCACTCATCTGTACAAACCGGTGCAAACAATATGTTCGTCGTGCAGCGCCGTAGAAAAAGTGTAGTGTTCCACATGTTAGCATGCAACGTGGATGTGTGTGTGTGGTTTTTCACCCGATGCGACGGCTTCATGTTGCCGGCGTGCTGATCGTGTCGCCGTTTTTCCAGACGTGCCTGTCTGGTCGAAGCTGGAGACAGGGAGAATTCCCAATCCTCCGGAGCTGGCTCAGATCCTAGAAAACCAGATCCGCTGGTCGGGAACGAACAACGTGGGCAATTTTTAGCCGCCCGTGCGGCAAGCGGCGGCCTAACGCGTCTGGTCGCGCCAGCTGTTGGCCGACTGCTGGATGACGGTTGCCTTGGAAACCGCGCGTCGGTGAGGGTAAACCTGAAGTTGCACGTCAGCCAACGGGTCGTGCGGTCAGGCTGCGCCGGGCCCAGCGTATTATGTTATGCAATGCATTAGTCTCGATTCCGTTCGATTGTTTGTGTGTTTAGGTATTGCTCCTGTGTTTGTCACGTGCACTTCTCAGTGTACGCCATGGATATCGTGCTGTGTGGGGATAACTACCAGGGATCACAAAGTGAGACGGATTACCATTTGTATCACATCGGTCAGCCGAAGGACTATGTTCCTTCAGAGGGTGGAATGATTCTTCAGCAACATCAGTCATGTGTTCAAGATGAAAATTGTCTCCCTGGCTTTTTCGACAGGGGTGAATACCTCCTCTGTGATGCGTGAAGTAAAGATATGTCGGGGCAGTTTTAGACATTTTCAAAGATCAGCATATGTCTTCGTCATCCGGGTTGAATTTTGTTTCCTCGGTTTTGAATTTCGCTCGGCAAGTCACATCGACTTGTAAACCGGAGTGTCGTGCGCTGATGGCCGATGATAAAGTAATCGTGCCGTATTTCCGTTGACTCGCCAAAGTGATGAACAGAGAAGCGCATTTGTGGGCAGAGTGAGTGGATCCAGCATTGGTGTGTTGCATTGATGGGCGTCCTGGAGTAAAACACGTTTCTAATAACCGCAGAAGTTGGCGTCGCCTTTGTGCGATGTGTGTGATTATCTTGATGCTGGAGAAATGGTACACAATAAGCTGCAGGTACTGTCGAAACCTTCGACGTTGTTCTAGTTTTGCGTGGTCATTGAATAGCAAAGATGTTTTCTTAGTTGAATCCCGGAACTGCTTCTGTTTGTGTACAATGAAGAGGACAAAAAACAATGCAAAATCATCTAAATGGGCATGGTTCAGTCAGTTTTTCTCGGAACACAAGTGTTCTTTCAACTGCCTAATTCGGGTTTGTTGACATCCATACTACTGCTCGATGTGCTCAGGCTTCTCTGTAGTGCTCGCTCTGCATATAATGTGGTTATGTGTTCTTTAAAAAATATATCAGTTCCCATTTGAGGTCATTTGGACGACGAGTAGTCGGCGCCTGTCAGACATGTGTCTTGCATACGAATGGCTCTGGCAGAGTATCGCTTTTCGGTGCCAGAGCCTTATCGGTTGTAATGTCATGAAACCACCAAGATCTGCGTGAGGTAGCAGGGGCATAGCTGAAAAGAAGCGGACTTAGTGTCACTCTGAGGTGATTTCCCTGTCAATCGTAAGCAGACTCCAACATTCTGGCGCGGTGCGTAGAACCTGGCGCTGCCCGGTTGGATGTGACTTCCGCCTAGCTCTAGAATGTCGGTACTAATGGAGCAAAAATGTGCGTTACTTTCTCTGTGCCAGGTGATTTCCGGTGTCACGTGGACAACGTAGTGCGAAGGGGTGCAAATATATGCAGCATGCACTACGCTGGTTTTTCATGATGTCCGTGTCGGGTCCGCGTCGATCGGGGCACGGGGGCCCACTTCTCAAGCAGGGACCAGGCTGTGGACCGCAATTTACATTGGTCGGTGCCCATTAAGCGATGAGGGGCCCCCTGTGTTGCCAGAACACTTACCAGGGGGTCCTATTTTTGGGGCATCGGTCCGGCCAGGGACAGCGTTCAGTGGTGCCCGAAGAGGTGCGCGAAGCGCCTCTCGGGACCGCCGATTAGGGGCTTGATTTGAGGACCGCAAGGCCGGACACTCAAATGCTAGTGAGAGGGCCCTTTGCATCGATTAGGGGCTCCCTCGGTAGATGACGGCCGGGCCCCGATCCACATTGGTCGGGGCCTCGCAGTCAATAAGGGCCTCCTTGCGCTGTCAAAAGGGGATATTGGTGTTAGTGTAGGTCAGCGACCTCTTCTAATCTCTGTGAGGTTCAAATGACACATTTGTCGTCCTCCCTGTGATCAAGAAATTAGAAAGTAGCGTCAAGAAGGCGAGGTCCCCAGCAAAAAATCAATTTAGTTTTGACCTTGACTAGGCCTACATACCTACCGTAATTCAACCGAATCAGTCGTAATCATAAGCTACATTATCTAATTGTCGAAGAAACCGTCTCAAAGATGCATGGCTTTGTCTAACACCCCGTTATCGCATCAGATTGAACGATTCCCTGAGAACTGCCTTCGCTAACAGTTATGGCCCGACATGTCTGCCATAGGTCAGCGACCTTACAAGGTACATCAAAATCTTTCCTTAAAGATTGGCTACTCCACTGGCTACAGACATATAAGTTTGGCGCGGCTACGACGCATTGTTCGGAAGCTATTTTGAAAAGACTTTGGGTCGAAGCGCTTCCACCCAAGCGCGTAGTAAAACCAATTTCGTTAGGACCGTTATTGAAGCGTCCTCTTTTCTGTAACAGATCGCATAAAGTTTAGACTCCTAGAGCACGCTAAGCACACAAACCCGAGCCAAAGTTTTTGACAACAAATTCCAGCTCGTGGGGCCCTCCGCGCCTTGCCCGCACCGCGGTCGTGGTGGGTTCACGGTCGGCCTGTTATCGTCTACCGCAGAGCACTCTCAGCACGCCCGGCGTTATATGGGAAAGGGCCCAAACTACGCGCAAACGCCCAAACCTACGCGCAATATGTGAGACAATTATCAATAAACTTCCTCAAAATCTTGGAGAATACGAACGCAGCGAAATACTAGCACACTAACACGAATAACGTCAGTGGCCACCCGCGGTGTTCCCCGCCCCGAAACCACCGCTTTTTCGGAAATGCTCCTGGCCGAGTTGCATCCTGAGCCCAAGACCCTCTTGCGCGGAAGTGATGCTTAAGCCAACACTGTGACCTAAGTCTCCCAGGAAACCACGATGCTAAATGTCCGGAACGCCCGGCGCACACCGTCAACACTGCAGAAGTTGAGGCATGCACAAGCGGGCCCTGACGCGGACCGGATTCCTGGCAGGACTGGCTCCTGACCTGGACCGGCCTGCTGGCAGGACCGGCCTCCTGGTAGGACCGGCTTCAGGCCTGGACCGGCTATCTGGCAGGACTGGCCTCAGCCCTGGACCAGCCTCCCGGTAGGACTGGCCTTAGACCTGGGGCGGCCTCAGACCTGGACCAGTCTCCCGGGAGGACTGGCCTCCTGGTAGGACCAGCTTCAGGCCTGGACCGGCTTCCCGGCAGGACCGGCTTCCTGATAGGACTGGCCTTAGACCTGGACCGGCCTCCTGACAGGACTGGCCTTAGACCTGGACCGGCCTCCTGGCAGGACTGGCCTTAGACCTGGACCGGCCTCAGACCTGGACCGGCCTCCCGGCAGGACTGGCCTCCTGGTAAGACCAGCCTCAGGCCTGGACCGGCCTCCCGGTAGGACTGGCCTTAGACCTGGAGCGGCCTCCCAGCAGGACGGACTTCCTGGCAGGACTGGCCTTAGACCTGGAGCGGCCTCCCGGCAGGACCAGCCTCCTGGTAGGACCAGCCTCAGGCCTGGACCGGCCTCCTGGCGAGCGGTGCCGGCTTTAAGTCGTGCTCGTACTCAAACCTCGGAGCCGGGCAGAACTTGCACTTGCGATGGAAGCGTCGCACCGTGCGGTGGCAAGACTCGCACCCATGGGCGTCGATTTCTCATGGATGTTGATTTCTCAAAATGATTGGAGGGTGGTCAGAGTCAGAGTCAGAAGGGAAAGGGGCTTGAAGCCGCCATAAGGGGACCTAAGCGAAATTCTTCTCGGATTCCGTCCACTTATGTTCTGCTCATTCATTGCATATGTATAGTAAATGTGTAAGCGTATATCATTCGACATGTATTACCTTTTGAACGCTGATATGGATACCAGTCAGTACAGCAGTTGCGTGTGGACATCTGGCAGTTTGAATCAGTTTGCTATAAACGCACTCGTTTTGTAAAGCTGAAAGAATGCAGTTGCACCTCTCTAGTATGCTGGAAAGGAAAATCTGGACATAGTTCGCCATATGTGCCTTGGTGATTTGTTGTGTGTTTGTGAATGTGTTCATAAGAATAGAGCGTAAACAATATATATATATATATATATATATATATATATATATATACAGTGCGGCCCAGCTATACTTCTAGGGGACACTGCTCCAAACTGTTGCGCCTCTCACGGGAAAGCGAACCTCATGCGCTTCAGTTCGAAAATGTGGCAAATAAAACTCCCGTCAGTAACAGCGTTGGTAATTTATTTGGCTCTTCAACAACCATGCGATCTTACTGGCGTGCGCATGCTGGATGCTCAACGAGTCCGCCCACATACGCCCAGCCAGCATTTTATCGCGACTCGACCGGGCCTCGGACGGGTACACCGGGTGGGCAGTAACAGGATGCCCAGTACGGCCCCAGATGGGCCTTGCAACATTTGTTTGATGGGCCGCGGCCTGGCCACAGCCGGTCCGTCTGCCTGCGGCCTAGCTTTGCACCAGCTGAGTACATGTTGGTAAAATATCAGGGTATCAGTGTGGCCTGGGCAAGCGCTGAACTCCAGTTGGGGCCCTGTCTGGGATATCGGCGTGGCTTGGGCAGGCTCTCGGCTCCAGTTGGGGCTCTGCCTGGGATGACGGCGTGGCCTGGGCAGGTGCTGGACCCCGTTTGCGGCCCCGCCTTGGATATCAGCGTGGCCTGGGCTGGCTCTGGGCTCCAGTTGGGGCCCTGCCTGGGATATCGGCGTGGCCTGAGCTGGCTCCCGGCTCCAGTTGGGGCTCCGCCTTGGATATCAGCGTGGCCTGGGCTGGCTCTCGACTCCAGTTGGAGCTCTGCCTGGTATGTCGGCAGTGGCCTGGGCTGGCTCTCGGCTCCAGATGGGGCCCTGCCTGGGATATCGGCGTGGCCTGGGCTGGCTCTCGGCTCCAGTTGGGGCCCTGCCTGGGATATCAGCGTGGCCTGGGCTGGCTCTGGGCTCCAGATGGGGCCCTGCCTGGGATATCAGCGTGGCCTGGGCTGGCTCTGGGCTCCAGATGGGGCCCTGCCTGGGATATCGACGTGGCCTGGGCTGGCTCTGGGCTCCAGTTGGGGTCCTGCCTGGGATATCGACGTGGCCTGGGCTGGCTCTGGGCTCCAGTTGGGGCCCTGCCTGGGATATTGACGTGGCCTGGGCTGGCTCTGGGCTCCAGTTGGGGCCCTGCCTGGGATATCGGCGTGGCTTGGGCAGGCGCTCGGCTCCAGCTGGGACCTTGCCTGGCCCCATCTGGTAGAAGCGCTATGTACCAGCCGGGTACAATTCCGCACCTGGGCTGGGCATAGCAAGAAATCTCGCGCAGCAGAGCGGGGTACATAGAGTGCGCAGTGCATCCCACGCAGAGGGATGATTGACTCAATGTTTTTAGTACTAGGTAAAGCCAAAATGGATTTAAAGTTCAATATTTGGGTCCTAACATCCCCTGACCGAAGCGAAGGTCGTTTTAAGTGAGAAGTTGTCTCTGGCACTGCGTTGTTTCAGTTTGGATACATTCCTGCTCTATAAATGCTTCGGAAACAGTCTGAACCCAAATGACCCATGTTTTTCTGTCATCTGAAAAGGTCATACAATACAGGAAAAGGTATCCAAAGTCTTGTCAACTCCGGAAAGCACTCCGCAATGACCAAGGTCAATTTGAATTGCATGAAATTAACCAACAACCTTCACTGCGTTTTAGAGAGTAAACCTGAAATCCCGTCCTCCTATTCCGAAAACGAAATTCGATGATGCACGTTTCCGAATAACGATCATGACGTTTTGGATTGCATTTGCTAGCAATGCCATCGTTCGGCAGGGTCTTCAGGCTTGACTGGTCTTGCAGTCTGGTTTCCAGCTACCCTTTAACAATAAATGGGGCCTCCAAGGGTGCAGGAATTCACACCTGCATTGTTTTGGCCACACGAGAAATGCCCCAATTCTATGTGTCACTCGTAATCTCACCGTCACCCATCAAACGTTCAGAAGTCATACGAAACTGCGGTTAAGACCTCGTGGGATCTGATGTAAGCCAATTGTCTTTTTTTAAATAACTTTTGCAGTACATCTTCAGAAATATTCTTCAACTATTCCGATTAAGCGGCATGCAAGCTAGCAAGGCTCGGACAAATATCAAACATACTTGAGCTTTGGAAAATAGATAGCGCAGGCTTGTAAACAAGGTCATGAACCATGTCCCGCCACTGACCAATCGCTGCGATGTATGGCTTCAAGCCTCACGGTCTTACCCTTATATCAATATCAATGCCAGCCGAAACATGAGATTAAGGATGAGTCAACAGTATGGTGGGTGAGGAGCGCTCGATATAACCCGAGTTCCGTAGCTAAATACCACGCTGCAAAGAAGCATTTTGACTTCGAACTTTTACAGTGAACAGTGCGTCATAGGAACTGGCTTTGTTCGCAGCTAAGCAGGGTACAGCTCGGTGAATGTCAGCTCCCGTGACGCAGCAGACTCCACTCACCAAATGATTTGCAGCACGGTCTGATGTCAACGGT